CCCCTGCCAGCCTGATCGACGCCTAACTGCTCCCCTGCTGGCCCGATCGCCCCCAACTGCCCTCCCCTGCTGGCCTGTTCCCCCCCAACTGCCCTCCCCTGCCAGCCTGGTCCCCCCCCAACTGCCCTTCTCTGCAGGCCTGGTCCCCCCCAACTGCCCTCCCCTGCTGGCCTGATCGCCCACAGCTGCCCTCCTCTGCTGGCCATCTTTGAACACATGGGGGCGGCCATCTTGTGTGTTGGAGTGATGGTCAATTTTGCATATTACCTCTTTATTATATAGGATAAAGATGAACTTTACAAAAAACAAACACTGTACACATATACTCTAATTGGACCACATATTAGCTGACTTTTTCAGGTAGATTATGAATAGAAAGGTCATGTAAAAATTCACAAATATATTAAAGCTAGAATCTAGATACTAGACCACTATTTATTTAGAGCCAATTAGATCTAGGAAATAGTCCAAAAATGTGTTTGTTTGCATTTCTTCAGAGCTTGGGTTAATAACATGAACTAATAGTAAGTTATACTCATGATTGAAATTCTGATTTTCAAATCTTTTAAACTTTCTTTTTCTGCTTATTGAATCCTCAATACTTAAAATATAGATATGTCTTGCAAAAGGTACTTTTAGATTTCTACCAGAGAGGTGAGTTGATATGCTATTACACAGACAGCTTGTGGCAGAGTAACAATTAGTAATCTTAAACTTACTAATTCATACTTGATGGTCTTTCTGCACCATTCTTACTCGTTTCTGAGTAAAAGTAAACTATCTTTCAACATATACATTTTCTGAGAGAAATATTATAGATTGCTATTACCTCTGGCTCAGGCTAAATTTTCCAACCCTTTCAATTTCTTTTAGAACTCTTTTAACTTTTATGCCTAGAGTATTAGACTAAGAAGTCTAGCTTCTGATTCTACTTCTGTCACAAATTGATAGAAAAATAAAAGTAAAATTTTTTTTCTAAAAACATTTGGGAACATTTAAAAATAATATTTGAAGCTTGTTGAATTTTTTGATAATTGGTCTTTTCTAATAGTAAATCTGTTAATTTATTTTTTACTCCTATATTGGAGGAATTTTAAGTGTTAATGTGGCATCTTGACACTTATTAACCTAGGCAGCTACACATGGGTGTATAAATTATTCTGGCTGGTCTCAGAATTATGGAATCCTGGATATATCAGGATTGGAACCTAAAGTCATCTCTTTTTAGAACCAGTGGAATCAGAATGAAGCTATTACCAAGATACCAGAAGGCCTACCTAATACATATATTGGAACCTGGTTGATCAGATGCTAATAAAGCAGTATCTATTTTTCCATATCCTTTTGAGTTATGTGTACTTTGTCATTTCTCCTCACTTTGAGTTTGATAGGAATGATATGAGTCATCTTCAATGTATTTTTATTTTATACTGGAGGCCCGGTGCACGAAATTCTTGCACTGGTTGGAGGGGGTGTCCCTCAGCCTGGCCTGCGCCCTTTTGCAGTCTGGGATCCCTTGGAGGCAGGAAAGGCTCCAGCCACTGCCGCTGCATTCACCAGCTGTGAGCCCAGCTTCTGGGTGAGCGATGCTCCCCCTGTGAGAGTGCACTGACCACCAGGGTGCAGCTCCTGTGTTGAGCGCCTGCCCCCTGGTGGTCAGTGCGCATCATAGCAAGTGGTCGTTCCGCTGTTTGGTCGATTTACATATTAGCCTTCTATTATATAGGATTTTTGAACAGTTGAACTGGTATTTTTTTTTTCTGTTTTATAACACTATTATTTTATTTATTATTTATTTTTAAATTTTTTTAAATTACCCTGCCCTCCCCTACCTTCCCTCCAAGGCCCGACAGTCCAATCAATGCCTCTCCATCTCTGGATCAGTCCTTGTTCATCAGTTTATGATGTTCATTATATTCCACAAATGAGTGAGATCATGTGGTATTTATCCTTCTCTGACTGGCTTATTTCACTTAGCATAATGCTCTCTAGTTCCATCCATGGTGTGGCAAATGGTAAGAGTTCCTTTTTCTTCTTCCTCTTCTTAAAGAATACCTTTCAGCATTTCATATAATGCTGGTTTGGTGGTGATGAACTCCTTTAGCTTTTTCTTATCTGTGAAGCTCTTTATCTGACCTTCAATTCTGAATGATAGCTTTGCTGGATAAAGTAATCTTGGTTGTAGGTTCTTGCTATTCATCACTTTGAATATTTCTTGCCACTCTCTTCTGGCCTGCATGGTTTCTGTTGAGAAATCAGCTGACAGTCGTATGGGTACTCCCTTATAGGTAACTGACTTTTTTTCTCTTGCTGCTTTTAAGATTCTCTCTTTGTCTTTTGCTCTTGGCATTTTAATTATGATGTGTCTTGGTGTGGTCCTCTTTGGATTCCTTTTGTTTGGGGTTCTCTGCGCTTCCTGGACTTGGAAGTCTATTTCTTTCACCAGGTAGGGGAAGTTTTCTGTCATTATTTCTTCAAATAGGTTTTCAATATCTTGCCCTCTCTCTTCTTCTGGTACCCCTATAATTCTGATGTTGGTACGCTTGAAGTTGTCCCAGAGGCTCCTTACACTATCTTCGTATTTTTGGATTCTTTTTTCATTTTGCTTTTCCGGTTGGGTGTTTTTTGCTTCTTCGTATTTCAAATCTTTGACTTGATTCTTGCGATCCTCTGGTCTGCTGTTGGGAGTCTGTATAATATTCTTTATTTCAGTCCGTGTATGCTTAATTTCTAGTTGGTCCTTTATCACAACATCGAGGGTCTCACTAGATTTCTTAAGGATCTCAATACATTTATCGGCGGTTTCCATAAAATTCTTGAAAAATCTTAGAACCGTGGTTTTGAACTCTATATCCAGTCGTTTGCTGTCCTCCATTTCTGTCATTTGTGACCTGTTTCTTTGTCTTCGCATTTTGTCTGCTTCCCTGTGTTGGTAGAGTGGTTTTGTGTGCTAGGTGTCCTACAGGGCCCAGTGGCTCAGCCTCCCCAGTTACCTGAGGTGGACACTCTTGGTGCACCCCCTTGTGGGCTTTGTGCACAGTCTTGTTGTAGTTATGCCTTGATTGTTTTAGGTGTCACTGGGAGGAATTGACCTCCAGGCCAATTGGCTGTGAGAATCAGCTGTGTCTACGGTGGGAGAACTTCTGTGCTGAAGACACCCTTCTGGGGCAAGACTTGCTTCAGTGGGGCTTTGGTGCTCACTGAGTCTGCCCCCTGAGTGTGTCCCTTATGGATCTGAGGAGTTGTAATTGGATGGTCCCACTCTGACCACTGGGTACACTGGCTCTTGGATCTAAGGAGGTGCTAATCTCGCCTTTTCCTGAGGCTACCCAGCAGAAGCCAGCTGTAAAGCAATGCAAGTTGCCCTGGGGCCTTGGGCCAGCTGCAGTTTGTTAAGTAATTTTCAGATTACAAAGGGCCAGGCCTTTCATATGCAAAAGCCTCCATGCAAGGCTTGTGCGGGGCGGGGCCCCAGGGGATCAACAGGGCAGGTGGAGCAAGCAGTATGGCTGCTCTGTCCTGCCCTCAGAGGCCCCGGCAATCTCTGTGAGCACCTCCGAGAGAAAGCTGCCCTCGAGTTCTGACCGATGCCAGACAGTCCCATTTCTGCTGTATGAGTCTGGGTCCCCAGAGACTCGCCCGGAACTGGAGTTCAGAGCAGTC